TGGGGGCTTGTACAGAGGTGTGCATCTGGAATCATCCCCGTAAAAGGGCCACCTACTCCTAGAAAAGTGTGTGTCTGCACCCCGGGGTTTGGGTAGACCAGTTGAAACTCAGGATACTAGTCCATGGATCAGATGAGTAAATAAACATATTTTATTTAAATACTTTTTAAAAAATTATTTATTTTTTTAATTTTTAAAAATTATACTTTAAGTTCTGGCATACATTCACAGAATGTTTAATTCATGTATTTAAATAAATAACGATGTATTTTATGTAAATATTTAACAATAAATTTAATTTAAATAAATAATAATTTATATAAATGCTTAATAAATTTAATTTAAATAAATATTTAATAATAGGCCAGGTATGGTGGCTCACACCTGTAATCCCAGCACTTTGGGAGGCTGCAGCAGGCAGATCACCTGAGATCAGGAGTTTGAGACCAGCCTGGCCAACATGGTGAAACTCTGTGTATAATGAAAATATATATATGAAAGTTAGCTGGACATGGTGGTGCACGCCTGTGGTCCCAGCTACTCAGGAGGTCGAGGCAGGAGAATTGCTTGAACCCAGGAGGTGGAGGTTGCAGTGAGCTGACATCCTACTCTTGCATTTCAGCCTGGGCAACACACTGAGACTCCATCTCAAAAAAAAAAAATTTAATAATAAATAAATTCATTTAAATACTAAATAAACGGGGCATGCATTGGAGCAGCAGTTTTGGGGTTGTCATTCGCAAAACGGTGTTCTTGGGCTGAGGGGCTGTGACGCTCATGTACTGCTGAAGTGATGGTGTAGACTACTCCTGTAACAGGAGCTCATTAATTGGAAAACAGAGGAAGTCAGTGTTCGCTTTTTGTTTCATTTTTGTAAACTGTATTTACTGTAAGTTTTGTCCCCCTCTACTGGCAGAAATCATTATTGCAGATGACAATCCTTCCGTTGATCTGAGAATTTTAGCATGAAAAATCACGTCTGTAATCCCAGCGCTTTGGGAGGCTGAGGCAGGAGGATCACTTGATCCCTGGAGTTCAAGACCAGCTGGGCAAGGTAGCAAGACCCTATATCTACAAAAATGTTTTAAAAATTCGCCAGACATGGTGGCACACGTCTGTGGTCCTAGCTACTTGGGAGGCTCAGCTGGGAGGATTGCTTGGGCCTAGGAGATTGAGGCTGCAATGAGCTGAGATTGTGCTACTGCACTCCAGCCTGGGTGGCAGAGCGAAGCTGCATCAAATTAAAAAAAAAGACCTTAGATCACAAACCTAAGCCACTAATGTTGTCACTCATTTGTGCATAAAGTTAGCACAAATACGACAAAGCCTTTTGTGTCTGTGTGTAATCCATTGTCTAAAAGCACTCCGTACGTCTGTTTGGGCTTTACATTTTGACCAACAGGACTCTGAGGGGGTGTGCATGTGAGTGGAAAAACTCAAACCCTGTTTCTCCTCTGCTCTCACACAAGTCATCACAGAAGACTTCTGTGGCCAAATTTGTGGGGGCTTTCCTCCCACACCAAGCCCCGGCGATCAGCTGGGTGTCCTTGAATTCAGTTCTGATGCTGTCCACTGGGAGGTAGCCTCAGATCTGACAGATGGAGGTCTCAGTCCCCAAGCCTGCCCTCCTCCATCTGCACTGGTCACAAGCATAGGTCTCTGGAACTTCTGACCAACTGGCTTCAAGTTGGGGTTCCCACCATCCCTTTTTGGGGTTAATTTGCTAGAGCAGCTCACGGGACTTAAGGAAACACTTATGTTTACCAGTTGATCACAAAGGATATGTTAACAGAAAAACCGCACTCTGTAAAATATCTTAAAGAGGTTTATTTGGAGCCAGTATGAGTGACCAGGGCCCCGAGAAAGCACAAACCCAAGAAGCTGTGAGTAAAGGGCCCCGAGGGGGTCAGATTACGATTTGGGTTGATGCTGTTGCCACTGCGTCTGGCTGGGCCTGTCATTGTGGGCGGTAAAGGAATTTACCGAGACGGTTGTAGGTAAAGAAAGGCAGATGTGGCCAGTCATGATGGCTTGCGCCTGTAATCCCAGCACTTTGGGAGGCCAAGGTGTGTGGATCACCTGAGATCAGGAGTTCGAGACCAGCCTGGTCAACATGATGAAACCCCGTCTCTACTAAAAATAAAAAATTCACTAGGTGTGGTACACGTGCCTGTAGTCCCAGTTACTCGGGAGGCTAAGGCAGGAGAATCGCTTGAACCTGGGAGGCAGAGGTTGCAGTGAGCCGAGATCATGCCACTGCAGTCCAGCCTGGGTGACAGAGTGAGACTCTGTCTCAAAAAAAAAGTGGGGGGAGGGAAAATTTATTAGCGAAAGTATGAAGGTAATGTTGCAAGTTTGCACTGGCCAGCTAGCAGAGAAGAGGCTGTCGGCCAAGAGATGGGGGCAGGAGGGAAGCTTTATTGGGTCATGCTGCTGGGGCTATATGCAGAACGAGGTGTTTGGGAGCAGGATATCATGCCAGCAGGTTGTCTGTGATGATCCAGTTCTCAGAACAATTATTCCTGGGACCCCTTCCGCGTTGTTACTTAGCAGGATTCCATGTATACGTTTTAAGGAGACAGGAGTTACAGGAAAAGAAACCCAATACGTAGAAGCTCGGCCTCAAAAGGTGGGATATCTTGAAATGAGGGGCTTCCAAGTCTTAGGTATGTCTTAGGGATTCTTTAGTTGGCAGTTGGTTGAGAGAATTAAGTTTTGTCTAAAGACTGAAAGTCAGTTCAAAGGAATGCTTAAGGTAAGGGATCTGCTGTCTGCCGTGTGATGCTATACCAGTGTCAGGTTAAAAAGTAAGCCACATTATACCAGGCTAACTAAAAATAAAACAGTGTAACCAGATTTTATTGTTTGTTGGATGTCACTTAACCCTTGCTGTGCATAGCTTTAGGTCTTGTTTATGATTTGGTATCTTAGTACCACAAAGAGTCTGTTCTGTCAGTCTTACAATCTTGTTTTAGTAATAATGCTGGTCAGTTTTGCCTCAACTTCTAAAAGAGAGGGGCTGTGATGACGCCTGTCCCACCTCCCTTCCTGCTACCACCAAAAACTCAGTCCTTCAGGTATCTCTGAAGTCCCTTTGGACACTGAGGCCGGGGAAGAAATCACACAGGCTATGCTGGATGGGTCAGAGCGTGGGAGCGTGAGAGAGAAGTCCAGCCTGTGTACGGATGACTCCAAAAACGCCAGCTTCTAGAGCTGGCCCTCTGGGAAATCAGAAAACCACTAAACATTTCTAAACAGGCAGATTTCCAAAATCCAAGCACACAGGACACCGAGGAAGCAGGAAGACAGCCCGGCCATGGCATGTGCATAAAATCACGAAGACGTGAGCCCCAAATCTTAGCAGTAAACATGGGAAGGAATGAACAGCTCTAGGGATCAGCCAGAAAGACCTAGAAGCCAGACAGACACAAGAGTAGCTGGGATTACAGGTGTGCACCACCATGTCTGACTAATTTTTGTATTTTTCTTAGTAGAGATGAGGTTTCACCATGTTGGCCAGGCTGGTCTTGAACTCCTGACCTCAAGTGATCCCCCTGACTCAGCCTCCCAAACTGCTGGGATTACAGGCGTGAGGCACTGTGCCTGGCCAACAAATAGCATTTTTGATGACATAGTATCTTACCACAGCTGTAGAAGCTAAGGCCTGGCATCCCTAGTTGCAGGCTCAGCGGTCTGTCATGGGTTTGGCGTGGGATGATGCCTCGCGTCCCTGGAGAGGAATCCTGCATCCAGCAGTTTGAGCGGGGATGTTTTTGAAGAGCCCTTTCCCCTTCAGTTTGGTGCCCCATGACTTCCCTTGACCACTTCTTTCTAGAAATTCTTTGTTCCCTTGGCTTCTATTACATGGAACTTTCCAGATTCTTCCGTTTCTCTGAAATCACATTCTATTTTCTTCCTTGCTTTTTCTCTTCTTAGCCCCAAACTATTAGATGTTCTCCAATACTTTATCCACAGAATCGGTATTTATGTTGAAAAACGTAACTCCCTTACTGTCACCTTTATGGGGGTGGTTCTTGAAGTCACATCTGAGCCTGCATGTTCCCCCAGGCCATGGTCCCCCATCTCCAGCTACACCAAGCTGACATCCTTTGGGGCCTTAAATTAAGTGTGCTTGAAATGAATCCTGTCATTTTGTCTCGAGCCATCATTCCTGTGTGACTCGCCTCTTTCCCTTGGTGTCACTTCCAGGCTTCACGATGATGCCCTGGCCAAAAATGTATGTCGTCATCAGCTGCTTTCTCTTCCTTTGCATCTTGTGTCTGTCTGGCTTCTAGGTCTTTCTGCCTTGTCCCTAGAGCTGTTCATTCCTTCCCATGTTCACTGCTAAGATTTGGGGCTCACGTCTTCGTGATTTTATGCACGTGCCATGGCCGGGCTGTCTTCCTGCCTTCTCGGTGTCCTGTGTGCTTGGATCTGAGAAATCTGCCTGTTTAGAAATATTTAGTGGTTTTCTGATTTTCCGGAGGGCCAGCTCTAGCAGCTGGCGTTTTTGGAGTCATCCGTACACAGGCTGGACTTCTCTCTCATGCTCTCATGCTCTGACCCATCCAGCATAGCCTGTGTGATTTCTTCCCTGGCCTCAGTGTTCTCTGGTTCCTGATATGATCTAGAACATGCTCTTTGTAGCCTCCTCTTTCTGCTTCCAAGCCCTGGCTGTCCTCAAGGCCTGGCTCTGGTCCCCATGACCCTATAAAGAATATCTTGCTCCTGCCCCATGGCACGTGGCGCGCTGCCGTGACAGCGGGTCAGGTGTTGTCTTAGGCTCTAGCTGTTTTGTACTCTTGTTTAATCTTTCACAAGTGTCTGTCTTCTCCTCAAACTCTGCGTATAAACGGAACCTGGCACGCAGTCCATGTTTCAGTGACGCTTGTTGGATTGGAGTGGTGGAATTGCCAGCACAGTCTTGGGTCAGAAGTTGTGTTCCTCTCATGAGCTTTGGATTCGAGGTTAACAATCTTGTTTGTATGTGTGTGTTTCAGCTGCAGGTCCCTAGTGTGAAGGGTTTCGATTTTGCTAAGCAGCACCTGGGTCAACACAATAAAGACGACATATTGATTATTCATGAGCCAGCGCCACTGCCAGGACCTGTGAAGGACCACACCACGCCCTCGGAAAACGGAGACGTGCCAAGCCCCAAGTCAAAGATCCCGTCCAAGAACGTCCGTCACAGAGGAAGGTTATTACTGGGCTTTCTGTATAGTTCTTGGTTGCAGGCATGCTTCTGTTATCAGGCTGTCAGTTTCCGATGTCACAAGGGCCGACGGTGAGTCCAGCCCTGCCTCTGCAGCCTGGGAGACTGATGACTTGGCCAAAGTCTCACACGAGTCCAAGAATGTTTCCCAGCCACTCCCACGGGCTGCCAAGGAAGGCTTTGTGATTTCTTTCCCCACGTGGTTGAAGATCATGAATCACTATCTGTGATAGTTTGGTGGCCCCTGTCAGACTTGATTAGGGATTGACCAGCTCACGTGTATATATCCCAAGGGGAGCATGCTAGGCCCCGTGGAGATAATATCAGCAATAACATATAAGGAGTGCACGGCACCCAGTACACGCTCAGCCTGTGTGAGCCTCTGTATCCATGCCTGGGATGCCAGCAGCTGCTGTGACTGCATTGCTTTGTCTGCAGGTGACCTTCATCACGTCCTCCTGTGTTTTCTTTGTTTTCCTCCGGCTGCTCACGTGTGTCACCTTTGTTAGGATATCGCACAGGACTCTTCACCACCTCCTCCCTGCCCCGCTCCCCATTCCCAGTTCATTTCTCTTCCTCCTCTTAAAGGATAGCACATAGAGAATTGCTCATTAATTTTCCAAACTACCTGGAAGCCCCTCGTCACCCTCTGACCCTGTGAGAAGGGCTGTAGCTCTGTGAAAGAAGACACAGTTCAGAATCAGGTGTGTTCAGTTGACTTTTGAGCACAGGCTTTGGCTACTGAAGCCTCCCGTTGTCAGCCTTTCTTTGAGCGTTGGAACTCTAAATCCTGATTTCCTGCTAAGAGCAAAAAAAGTGTGTGATCATACGAACATTTGAAACGATGTCATGATTTCTGTCTTATCAGAAAACCTACCCCGGGGGTTCTGGCCTAGTTTTAAGAATCTAATAGATGTCAGAACATGATCTTTACAAAAGAAAACGAGTTATGTAGAGAGATGCTCTTTGCTTAATGATTTTGCTGGCTAAGAATAAATGGAATCATTGAAGATTATTTAATATGCAAGTAAAATTTTGCAAAGTCTTTTTTTTCCTTGCCTGCTTGTCTTGTCATTGATATTTAGTCACGGCAGCTCAGTGGTCTGCGTGGTTAATACGATGTTTTAGCATCTTTTGGGGCACCAGCATATCTTGGCATTTCACATTGTCATTGAAGCCAGGGAGCCTAAGGAATCAGGGAGCTAATGGATGAAGGATTTTTCCCTGGTGCAAGCTGGGTGCCACAATACCCTTGCTTTTTATATATAGAATCAAATCTCAGTATAAGCACGTCCCAAAGATCTGGGGTTATTTGGGGTGACTGCAGGGCTACGCCAGCTTCCCGGGGATTCTCCAGATCTAGTTAATCCTGAACCCCAAGTCCTCTTTGATCCAACTGATGCTAAACCCAGATTGCTGGTCCAGAAATGACAGGGCCACGGGCTGGGCCTTGAGCCCTGGTGGCTGTGGGACCTTCCTGCTGTCTGGCACTTGTTGAAATGCAGCCCGCTGATGCATTTAGTAAGCTGTATTAGTCTGTCTTCAGGAGGTGACTATGTGGTGTTAATGTTATCCTTGAAGACACTGTGCTGTGGAATAATTTTTTCGACGGTTTCATTTCTGCTGGTTTTGCCTGGAAGTCCCGACTTCCACACCCAAATTAATGGGACTTTTTCTTTTTCATTCTTTCTTGTTTCTGACACTTGCAATTCATTTTGTGTCTGCAGAGTTTCTCCCTCAGATGCTGACTCTACGGTCAGCGAAGAGTCCAGCGAGAGGGACGCAGGAGATAAGACACCGGGAGCCATCAATGACGGCGGGTCCCACAGAGCCCCGCAGAGCGGTCTGTGACACTTCTGGTTCTTCCCGTTACAAGTAGTCCCTATGAGAGTCTATAAGGCTGAGGCCTCACACTAACTTCAAACGCTAAACCCTTAAAAAATACCTGTGAAATGGGGCATTCATCATTCCCATGGTTGCTCAGCACCAGTTGTCAGCATTTGATGTGGTATTGGTATCTGCTTTGGGGCTTGGGATTCACTGGGGGGTACATGTTAAGGTGAATAGCCTCATTTCACTCTGGTTTAGAGTCCTCATGATTTTCCTGTCCATAGGTCAAGGAGGAAGTGCCCTGAAACCAGATTCTCAAAAACCACCCCCAGGATTCAGTAGCTTTCGTAGGAGCCAATTCAAGGATTCACAGCCATCACTGTCAGGAAGTTGTTTGTTTATCATCGGCCCAAATCCGTTATGTTTAGTGTTGTCCCTAGATCTTTCTTCCAGCAGGGGGTTAGTGTGAGCAGATGGTTTAGCATGTTTGTGTGTGGGGTCCCGTATAGCTTCATAGGCCAGGTATGAGATGAGCCTCCCTCCTGTTCTGTGAAGACTGATGCCCTGTCAGAAAACGAGACCTACAGGTCTTTAGACTTGGGAGCATGTTTTTTGGAATGATAGCACGGTAGCTTGTTTTAGTGTAATCGATTGTATTAATTAGATGTGCTACTGCAGCTGTTGTATTTGCTGGAGGTTTATTTTGATTTAAGGATTGTATTTCAGTAATACAAAGATAATTGAGAGGCCGGCCTCAGAATGTTATTATTACTATTTTTTTTTGAGACAGGGTCTTACTCTATCACTGAGGCTGGAGTGCAGTGGCGCGGTCCCGGCTCACTGCAGCCTCGACCTCCCGGGTTCAGGCGATCCTCCCACCTCAGTCTCCCCAGTAGCTGGGATTACAGAAATGTGCCACCACATCCAGCCAATAGCTGTACTCTTTTTGTAGAGACAGGGTTTCACCATGTTGTTTAGGCTAGTCCTGAACTCCTGGACTCAAGCGATCCATCTGCCTCAGCCTCCAGAAGTGCTGGGATTACAGGCATGAGCCACCACGCCCAGCCAGGATATTATTTTTAACAGGAATTTTTATACTGAACAGTTTTTAATCATAAATTTCTGTGTATGGAAATGCAGCACAGCATGAACTGTATTCTAGATATGAACAGACTCTGGACAGAAGCCCAGGGGCCTCTCCTCTCCCTGACGCGCTTGTGACCTCAGGGTCGCTCAGCCTCCGAGGTCCGGTGGGGCTCCCCTCGAGTCCTTGCAGTTCTTCCGGCTCCTCCCACTTGGTTCTTTTATAATCTTAAGGATATCCCCTTAGAAAAAGGGAAGAGGGTTTTCTTTGGATCTAGTTTTTCAAAATCTGAAAAATTATTTAGCACTGTGGTAACAGATGCTGTTTCAGATAGACGGGATTAGAATCTAGTTTTGGGAAAGAAATATTTGGGGGAAAAAAAAGAGCTCTGGATTTTATCAAGTTCTGTTCATTGCTTATCTGAGCAAACCTTTCAGTGCCTATGTTTAACTCCTTCTGATGGTATTACAACCAGTATGGTCTATAAGAACAGCAAAAATCAAACACCACTCTTAACATAGGTTCAGAATCCAGGTAGCCAGCATTACAGCTCTGGGGCCCAGAGTTGAATGTGAAGGAGATGAATTAGATGATTTTGTGACTATTAGAAGCTCAGATGCTGCTGTTATAATTTGAAGAGATATCAGAATCTGTACATTATTTTCATGTTGTAGAAAGACGGTTTTCTCACTATAAATGTCAATATACTTTGAAAACTTTGTTTACCTCTTGAAAGGTGCTATAAGATAGCTTTAATGCTGCCGTATAAGTATTTTATTGCTTGCATAGAAACTTAAATATCCTATTTTAAAATATTCTGAGTTTTTGTCCTAGGTTTGTTACTTTATTTTTTAATTTTTAAAAAACTTTTGCTTTTTGAGACAGTCTTTCTCTGTCACCTGGGCTGTAGGGCAGTGACACGATCTTGGCTCACTGCAGTCTCTGCCTTGCAGGCCCAAATGATTCTCCTGACTAAACCTCCCAAGGAACTGCGATTATAGACATATGCCACCACGCCTGGCTAATTTTTTTATTTTTAGTAGAGACAGGGTTTCTCCATGTTGGCCAGGCTGGTCTCGAACTCCTGGCCTCATGTGATCGCCTGCCACGGCCTCCCAAAGTGCCGGGATTACAGGCATGAGCCACCGCGTCCAGCCTATTTTATAATTCAGATCAAAATCTTTCTCTTGTTGCCAGCCAGAATGAAGTAAAGGTTAATGGAGGCATAGGGCAGGGAGGCGCTTGAGACCTATTCTGGAGCCCTCTTCTATGTTGCCCTGGGATCAGCGTTTCCTCTCACTCCTGTGGGTGGCACAGTTACCGGCTCTCAGGCTTCTTGGCAAGGCTTTTGACAGCTGTCCCAGGTCATGTGGCGTATTAAGGACCCACCTTGCAGTGGAAGCTGAGAGAAGACTCTTGTTTCAGTTTTGGTAAACTGGAGGTTGTGTTTGATTCCTTTACTGGCTGACTGTTTCTGGAAGGTGACTAGACCATGACACGTACCCTCACGGCCATCCGTGGACCCTTAAGAGATTACTTACTCAAATGTCGCTGTGTTCACAGTTACTGCAGCTCTAGAATAACTCACATCCTAACCCCTGGTTACCCTTAGTGAAGATGGGAAGGGAGAGATGAGGTAGGAGTGTGCTGCCATTGCTGTGTCTGTGCATAATTGTGGTTTTTCTCTCTCTCCTCTTCATCGTCAGGAATATACCAAGTAGGTAAGGATTGCAAAATACTCAGCATTCTTTTATGCTCTCCTTAGATTGCATGTGTGCAAGTGTGTGATTTTTAAGTAGTTAAAACTTCATTCCTTTGCGTTCCACAAGTTCCAAATTCTAGAATTTCACATGCAAACTAAGCGGCCGTTGACTTTTGCATGTGCTAAGGAGTTTGCAGTGCTCACTTAACCAGCATATATAATAAAATTGAAACGCAACACAGAACATTAGCATGACCCCTGCGCAAGGATGACATGCAAATTTGGGAAGCATTCCATGTTTTTTTAAAAATTAAAGAAGTTTGCCAAATAGTTTAAATGAGATTGAGTTCATATAACATTGAAGTTTTTCAAGCAATTTGGGAGTACCCATATATAAAATGATTGGGTTCATAAAATATAATTCTTATCTTTTCATGAAAGCAGATTCCCAGAGACCTTTTCAAGGTAAAACATAGTGGAGATGACTGTAGTCATTGAGTCATCCATTTAGCACATGCTTACTAAACGCTGTGCTGTATCAGGTGCTGGTGACACAGTGAAGATGAGACAAATGTGATTCCTGTCTCACAGGGTAGTAACGTAGGCTTCACACCTTGGTAAAGATGCGATTTTTCCAGCCTGGGCAACATAGCGAGACTCTGCCTCTACAAGAAATAGAAAAAATTAGCCGGGCATGGTGGTGTGTGCCTGTGGTCCCAGCTACTGAAGATGCTGAGGTGGGAGGATCGCTTGAGCCTGGGAGGTCAAGGCTGCAGTGAGCTGTGATTGCATCACTGTAGTCCAGTCTGGGTGACAGAGCGAGACCCTGTCTCGGGGGGAAAGAATGTGGTTTGACTATATTTACCTGTAGATAATGAAATAATATTTCTTTAAAAATGCTCTCTTGCTTTGACATTTCAGTAATTCAGACTGAACTTTTCTCTTTCATTCTGCTTTGTTGGCATTATCCTATTCTGTACAATCCTGTATATGATTACATGTTTTTTATTTTTATTTTTTGGCTTACCCTGTCTGGACTGCAGGGGCACAATCACAGCTCACTGCAGCCTTGACCTCCTGGGCTCAAGCAGTCCTCTCACCTCAGCCTCCTGAGTAGCTGGGACTACAGGAGCATACCATGCCCAGCTAATTTTTTATTTACTTTTTGTAGAGATGAAGTCTTGCCATGTTGTGCAGGCTGGTTTTGAACTCCTGAGCTCAAGCAATCCTTCTACCCTAGCCTCCCAAAGTGCTGGGATTACAGGCATGAGCCACCATGCCCAGCCTTTTTCTTTCTTTTTAAGATTTTTATTTATATTTTAACTGATGATAAAAAAAATCATATATATTTATAGTGTACAACATGATGTGCTTTTGCTTTTATTTTTAGTTGGCATATAATACTTGCAAATATTTATGGGGGACACTGTGATATTTCCATGTATGAATATACTGTCTGATGATCAAATCAGGGTAATTAGTGTATCTGTCACAACATAAGAAGTTATCGTTACCTTGGAAACATTCAAAATCTGCTCTTCAAGCTAATGAAAAATATACAATAAATTAGTAGAGTCACCTTACGGTGCCTACAGGTGCTAGACCCATATTCCTCCTCTCTAACTGTGCACTTTTATTTTTTTTTTTTTTGAGACACAGTCTCACTTTGTTGTCCAGGCTGGGATGCAGTGGTGCAATCATGGCTCACGCAGCCTTGACTTCCCAGGCTCAGGTGATCCTCCTTCCTTGGCCTCCCGAGTAGCTGGGTCTACAGGTGCACATCACCATGCCAGATAATTTTTTGTAGAGATGGGATTTTGACATGTTACCCAGGCTGGTGTAGAACTCCTGGGCTCAAGTGATCCTTCTGCCTCAGCCTCCCCAAGTGCTGGGAGTACAGGCGAGAGCCACCATGTCCAGCCTCTGGTTGTGTTTTTGTATCTGTTAACCAACCTTTGTCTTTGTCCCTCCCCTTCCCTTCCCAGCCTCAGGTGACCATGAGTCTACTCTCCACCCTAGATCAGCTTTCTAGCTTCCATATACGAGCGAGAACAGTGCGCTGTTTATCCTTCTGTGCCTGGCTTATTAATGTCATCCAAGCTCGTCCATATTGCTGCAAATGGCAGGGATTTCATTCTTTTTTATGGCTAAATGGTGATGTTTTAATTTATGTATGCATTTTGGAAGGGCGAAATCGAGCTATTTACCATGTGCATTACCTCAGATGCTTATTTTTTTGTGATAGCACTTAAAATCCACTCTCTTAACTGTTTTCAAGTATACAATATATTGTTATTAATTATAGTTACCACGAAGAGCAATAGGTATCTTGACTATATACTAAAATTTATATCATTACTCTTAAAAAATAAGAGAAAGGGGTTTTAATCCCAAGTTCTTGCCTTAAGGCAGAATTCACACAGCATTAATCTCTGTGTGTCCACTGTACTTTGTACTAATCATTATTATACAAGTAGCTTTTTTAGAAACATTGTGCAGTGCATAGCAAACAATATATATTATATAATTAGAACATATATTAATATATGATATATAAATATATATAATGAATATAATAGTTATATATTACTAATTGTTATATATTTATATAATATATATTTACATTATATATAGTTCTATAAACCAAAATATACAATTATAATATATGTGATATAATTATATGTGTGTGATATATAACATACATTATATATATATATGTTAAAAATTAAGGCCAGGTGCGGTGGCTCACGCCTGTAATCCCAACACTTTTACAGGCTCCCACCTGTAATCCCAGCACACCTGTAATCCCACCAGCCGAGGCAGGTGGATCACGAGGTCAAGAGATGGAGACCATCCTGGTCAACATAGTGAAACCCCGTCTCTACTAAAAATACAAAACATTAGCTGGGCATGGTGGCGCGTGCCTGTAATCCCAGCTACTCAGGAGGCTGAGGTAGGAGAATTGCTTGAACCCAGGAGGTGGAGGTTACAGTGAGCCGAGATCGTGCCATTGCACTCCAGCCTGGGTAACGAGCGAAACTCCCTCTCAAAAAAAAAAAAAAAATTAAAAGCACCTCTTTTCAGCCATGCTGAAGGGCTGGGCTCCGGGCAGTATGGAAGCTGGAAGATTTTCTGCACCTCTGACTTCCTCTCCTCTGCTTAGTCCCTCAGCTCTGTAGAGTGGCCCGAGGTCTGTGCATCCCCTCCTTCTCTGGTTGCAGTCTGTGAACAACTAAGCAAGGATGAAGCAAGGACTGTGACTGCAGTGGGGACGGGGTGGCCGGGCTGTGGACAGGAGTCCAGTGTCAGGCTGCCGCTCCAGTGGTACCCAAGCAGGGCTGACAGCACCGTGGGGAGGGGCCTTTTTTGTTTCTATGCCTGTCACCCTTGTCTACCTGCAACCCAGAGGTCTCTGCCACCCTGGAGGAAAACGATCCCACCTCTAGGTATCAGTAGCTTAATGGGCTACCCTCTGTGACATTTGCTGTTACTCTACAGTCTGGGTTAGCAGGGCTAGCCTGTCTGGTGAAGCTGATGATCTTCTTTTATGCATTACGCCTGCGACTTCAGTAGCTGTCCCTGATGAATGGTGGTGCCCGGCTGTGCTCCCACGGCACAAATAGTCAGGTTCCTTCTAGGTGTGGGGCCAGGAAAGAAAGCTTGAGCATAGCTGGAATGCAGACAGTGGTGCCCCCTTGCTAAGAGAGACATCATTCATTCAGAGTCAGACAAATAACTTCTAATTGCTTGGGATAATGAATATGATTCAAATTGAGAGAAAATACAGGCGTACTTACCAATGCTGTGTTTTCCTTATATGAAATATCAACGACCGCTTCTTACTGCTTTGCTCTCATCTATGTTTTCTGCACTGAGGAGAGACCTTTGTATTTTTCACTTATGCTTTGAAGTTTCAGATGTCAGGCTTTTGTTTAGAGGCAGTTTCTGCATGCACGCATTCCCTCTGTCAGCCTGCTGGTCATTTATTTGAAAGCAGCATCCAGAAGTGACTGTGGCTGATTAGAGGAAGGGCACAAATTGATCTTTTTTTTTTCGGCGGGGCGGGGGTACAGGGTCTCACTCTGTCACCCAGGCTGGAGTACAGAGACGTGGTCTCGGCTCACTGCAACCTCTACTTCCTGTACTCAAGGGATCCTCCCACTGCAGCCTTCTGAGTAGCTAGGACTACAGGCATGTGCCACCACACCCAGCTAATTAAAAAAAAAAAAAAAAATGTAGAGACAAGGTCTTAAACTGTATTGCCTAGGCTGGTCTCAAACTCCTGGGCTCAAGCAATCCTGCCTTGGCCTCTCAAAGTGCTGGGATTACAGGCATGAGCCACTGTGCCCGGCCAGCTGATCTTCTTAAGTGTGACTAATTAGCTCTTTCTACTCAGCCGTGCTGTTTATTTTTCTCTTTCTCTTTTCAAAATTAAAATCTATTCGGATTATCTCTACTATCAAAATAATAATACAGAAAATCCTTATTATCAACAATAAAAGACATTGGGAAAAAAAATCCCATCATGTGAAGATTCAGTCTCTGTTAACATTTTTGTGTTTATTTTTTGTCTTTTTTGGTGCATTTAACTTTCTTTTTTTCCATAGGTCTGATTAGTTTTTAAGAAAATTATTGCAGTTAAATATTCATAGCCTAAAATTTGCTGTGTAACCATTTTTGCATATACTCTTTACCAGTTTATAAAATAGGAACTAGCGCTGGAAGCATTGGCTCCTGCCTATAATCCCAGCAGCACTTTGGGAGGCTGAGGCAGGCGGATCACTTGAGATCAGGAGTTCGAGACCAGCCTGGCCAATATGGTGAAACCCTGTCTCTACTAACTAAAGTATTAATACAAAAATTAGCCTCGTGTGGTGGCACGCACCTGTAATCCCAGCTACTCAGGAGGCTGAGGCTGGAGAATTGCTGAAACTTGGGAGGTGGAAGTTGCAGTGAGCTGAGATCATGCCACTGCACTTCAGCCTGGGAAGAAGAGTGAGACTCCATCTCAAAAATAAATTAATTAATTAAAAAAATAAATAAAGTAGGAACTAATTCCCTGCAAGCAACAGCTTTTTCTTTTCATGTGTCTTCAACTTCATTTTCTTTCTACATCAGAATTGAAAAGTCATTTGACAACTGGTACATGCCTGCATGTTCTTATCTTCCATTTTCTCCGTAGTATGACGTTGCCTTGGCAACTAAGTGTGTATCACTCCAGCAAGCTCCCTCCCTGATGGTAGCAAGAGTTCAGAGCTACTATAAATGTATTTTCTAAAAGTTCTGTGAATGGCTTATTGACAACTGAGCAACTTCAGGCTCCTTCTGGCCTGTATTCTTTCTGGCTGAAGATTTTGAACCATAGTTGTACAAAACAGTGCAGCTTTTGACACAGTATCATAGTGCTTTCCTCACATCTTCTCTCAGGGCACTTGTAATTTTTAATGAAGCTAGAGGATACAGTATATAGCCCAGACGATTTAAGCTCAGAGAGTGAAATTGCAAGTTCTGCCACTGGAGTGGGGATGTATTTTTGGTCATGGCCCCATCTAAGGATTCTTTAAGGAATAATTCACAATTCTGATTATTTGCTGTTTCTTTAAATGACTTTCTGTATATGTTTTGCTTTTCCTTCTGTTCAGGACCACCACTGCCCAGTTCAGGAAACGAGCAGCACTCATCAGCCTCCATCTTCGAGCACGTGGACAGGATCGCCCGCCCCCCGGAGGCTAGCCGGCGGGTCCCCAATAAGATCCAGCTCATCGCAATGCAGCCGATCCCGGCACCCCCTGTGCAGCGCCCCTCCCCAGCTGACCGAGTGGCAGAAACCAATAAAATCAACAAAGAGGTATTTGCTTTTATTAAAAAGACTGTTAATTCAAAAACTCAACTGGGCACAGTGGCTCATGCCTGTAATCCTAGTACTTTTGGAGGCCAAGGCAGGCGGATCACCTAAGGTCGGAAGTTTGAGACTAGCCTAGCCAACATAGTGAAACCCCATCTCTACTAAAAATACAAAATTAGCCTGGCTTGGTGGCATATGCCTGTAATCCCAGCCACTCGGGAGGCTGAGGCAGGAGAATCACTTGAATCCAGGATGGGGAGGTTGCAGTGAGCTGGGATCATGCCACTGCATTCCAGCCTGGGTGACAGAGTAGGACTCTGTCTCAAAGAAAACAAAAACAGAAACAAAAACAACTCACACTCTGACACTCTGATTTGGTCAGTGTTTGAAAATGAGCGTAAGTTACAGTATCAACTGGTTATTAAAGTCATAAGCTGTTGACAAGGATTCTTAATGGAAAACCTCATGCTTGTTGGAGATCAGATACTGTTCATGGAACTGTGGGGTGCATTGGCAGACGTGCAGAAAAGTGTTAGCATGAACGACCAGGGGCTGCTCTCCTCAGAAAGAGCTGCTTCAGCTTCTGATCCTCCTCACGCTAAGACTCCATCTTTGGGGATGACACTCTGCGGGGCAGGAGGGTCTCATGTCAGGGAACTTGTTTCAGTGACATTAGGTAATTATCTTCCTTATATCTTTCAGTCTTATTTAAAAATCTCTAAAGGAGGAAAATATTCTTGTCTCAGGGCATATTATATCTAGCTATCAGATGTGTCTTCAAAGTTGTCACCAGCAGATTACCAAGGTTCGAGTGATTTTTTCCTCCCTGCTTTTGGGAATGGTGACAAGACTCCAGTGCACCTTGCCTGGGCTGTGCCTGTCACCCTCTTGGTGACTCTGTGGAAACTACAGACAGCAAATTAAGGGTGGGCGAGATGAGCAAAGCAGGAAGGCTTTCCTAAAAGGCTTTGCTGGCAGGCGTGGTGGCTAATGCTTGTAATCCCAGCACTTTGGGAGGTCAAGGCAGGCGGTCAGGAGGTCAGGAGTTCAAGACCAGCCTGGCCAACATGGTGAAACCCCGTCTCTACTAAAAAATACGAAAAAAAAAAAAAAAATGAGCCGGGCATGGTGGCAAGTGCCTGTAATCCCAGCTACTCAGGAGGCTGATACAGGAGAATCACTTGAACCCGGGAGGTGGAGGTTGCAGTGAGCTGAGATCATGCCACTGACTCTAGCCTGGGCGGCAGAGTGAGACTCTGTCTCAAAAAAAAAAATACATAAATAAAAATAAAAATAAAAAAATAAAAGGCTTGGCGAAGTGTGTGTCCCAGAAGCCTCCCAGGACTTCCGCGGCTGTCGTTCTCTCCTGTCCCCCTTCCTCAGATTCAGACCGCGCTGCGGCACAAGTCTGAGATCGAGCACCACCGCAACAAGATCCGCCTGCGCGCCAAGCGCCGCGGCCACTACGAGTTCCCGGTGGTGGACGACCTGTCCTCGGGCGACACCAAGGAGCGGCACCGGGTGTACCGCCGGGCGCAGATGCAGATCGACAAGATCTTGGACCCCACGGCCAGCGTGCCCTCCGTGTTCATAGAGCCCAGAAAGAGGTGGGCTGGGCGCCTGTGGCTGGGCTGCTGGGAAGGGCGTGCGCTTTGGGGGCACAGGAGCAGGACAGGAGCCCCTCTGCTGCTGTAGGGCCTGTGGCAAAAGGACCCCATCCGCGTTCACGCAGAGGTCACTGAAAACAGTTGAAGGGGTCCCTGCACTGAAGGGTGTGGAGGCCCCTCGGAAGGCATCCTCTGGCTGAGGGTCACCTTGGTGTGGGAGGCGTCGGCCTTGTTCTCACCTCTGCCCCTCCGCCTCTCTCTTTCAGTTGAGCCTGTCTAAAACCGCACTCACCCTTTCCTTCCCACCCCAGCTCCTTCTGTGGCCTCCTTGGTTCCTCCTCACCTCCCACTCTGTCACCTCCACTATTTTCATTTCCGGGAGCCACCCAGGCGCCCAGCTGCAGGGTCTGGGGTCTCACCTTCTCCCCGGCCTCCCAGACTCCCGCCCCAACATAGATGCATTTTCCTTAAACACAGCGCTCATGTATGTCCTCTGCTCAAAACCCGGGGTGGCTCTCATTGCCTGCCAGGTGGGACGTGTGTACCTGTTGCAGGCTGGTCCTGCCCCTCCACTCCAGCTCTTTTCCATGGGTCAGCCACACAGACAGAACCGCCACCCAGGAGACCGCCTGGTAGTCCCTGGGCATTCGCCTGCCTGTGGTTTCTGCCCCTGGCACCTGCTTCCCACATCCCTCCCTGGCTGCAGGTCCTGTTCACTCTCTAAGACCCCGTTCGGGCCCACGGGGCTAAGGGTCCCACTGACCTCTCCTTTTCTGAACGTCTGTATGGCTAAATGATGTCATGAATATAGAGGGCTTTGTATCATTCTGTGTTGCTCCCCGTGGGTTAATAGGTCTGTTTGGGTAGGTGCTGAGCTTCCTTAGAGCAGAGGTTGTGTCGTAGGTGCCGTTTATATCCTAGAGGGTATTTACTCCAGTGGCCAGCGCATGCTGGGTGCCCAGGGTACTTAGTGTTTAGTTGATAAACCAGTGGCAAAAAGGGTTATTTCCTACCAAGATAATTTCTCTTTTTCTTGGCAGCTCACGGATAAAGCGTTCTCCCAAGCCTCGCCGGAAACACCAGGTCAATGGCTGTCCTGCTGATGCTGAGAAAGACAGGCTCATCACCACGGACAGCGATGGCACCTACCGGAGGCCCCCTGGCGTCCACAACTCGGCCTACATTGGATGCCCAGTGCGTGCCCATGACTCCAGCTTCTGAAACCGGGGCAGGGCGGGGCAGGGCGGGGCAGCTCCTAGAAGATGCTCCAAAGAGGGCGGAGAAGCAGCCCAGCCTCCGCGCCGTGTGGTGTCCACACCTGACGGCTGATGCACCAGGGCCCTCTAGGTCATGAAGTGGGTGGGGTGGCCACCCTTTCTAAGGGGAGACTTGAGTCCCGTCAACCAGGGTGCTGCCGAGTGCCACCTCTGGAAACACACTCTGTGTTTTTCCTCTTTATATGTAAGCCTTGCTCTCAGACTTCACAGTGGGACATGTTCGAGGTTAACTGGGAAACAGAGAGAGAGAGAGAGAGAGAGAAATAGCCTCACGGTTTTTTTTCCTTTTCCCTAGTCAGAGGGTTATTTGGTTTTGTTGTTGTTTTTTATTTTTATTTTTTTGTGAGACAGGGTCTTACTCTGTTGCCCAGGCTGGAGTGCAGTGGTGTGATCATGGCTCACAGCAGCCTCAACCTCCTGGGCTCAAGTGATCCTCCCACCTTGGCCTCCCACAGTGCTAGGATTACAGGTGTGAGGGCATGACCCTGAGATCAAGAGTCTCATGCTGTACTGACTGAGCTAGCCCAGCTGGGTTTCCTAATGGGAGGAGGGATATTTAGGGTTTTATTTCCCCGTACTGCCCTTGGAGTGCTAATAAGATAGTGCGTTTGCTTATATATATTTTACTTTTATGGGAGAAAGAGCTTAATGGAAATTAAGAAATAATGAATGGTGGCTCATACCTGTAATGCCAGCACTTTGAGAGGCTGAGGTAGGCGGATCACTTGAGCCCAGGGATTGGAGACCAGCCTGGGCAATATAGTGAAACCCTGTCTCTCCAAAAACTACAAAAATTAGCCAGGCATGGTGGTGCATGCCTGTAATCCCAGCTACTTGGGAGGCTGAGGTGGGAGAATTGCTTAAGCCCAGGAGGTTGAGGCTGCAGTGAAATTTTTGCACCATTGCACTCCAGCCTGGGTGACAGAGCAAGACCGAGGCTCTAAATCAATCAATCAATCAATCAATCAATAAGGGACTTTTTCTTTTTCTTTTTCTTTCTTTTTTTTTTTTTAAAGACAGGGTTTCACCATGTTGGTCAGGCTAGTCACGAACTCCTGACCTGAGGTGATCTGCCCTCCTTGGCCTCCAAAGTGTTTGGATTACAGGCGTGAGCCACCACGCCTGGCCAGGGATTATTTTCCCTAAATTAACAGAGGTCCAGACAACTTTGCTTCAAGTGTTAAAGGCAGATATTGATAGCATAAGATGCATACACACAGACTGCACTGAGTAGGGGAGAGAGACCCGGCCTCACTTAATGCCCATGAGAAATACAGACACAAAGACACCCCAAGACAGAGAGGACGAGCCAGGTGCAGCTAACCTCGGCAGCACTGGAAAACGCAGGGCATCCTGAACTCCGTGCCAGGAGAGCCCTGCCTTGCTGCAGCAGGCGCCTTTCTCTTCCTGGAGGTACTCACAGGGCCAGCCTTGTTTAGAGACATGTTAGCAAAAAGCACACCCTTCCAGAAGGGATTCACGATGGACGTGATCGCCTTAGATAGAGCTTATGCCAGCAGCCATGTCTTAGTTGAGGTTTGTATTTTTTCCTAAATTATACAACTAATAAGCACTTAAAGATGCTAAATATAATTACACAAATACTATGTATACTGAGTATATATAGTATGCTATACAGAGATGGGGCCTAAATACAACTGAATTATGATCATCTGAAAGAACCAGACTTTTCCTTAGGAACTTATGGTATTTCTAGGCTCCTGAAGACTGACCTTCTTGATCTACTCATGAGGATTGGTGTGATTCCAGAGAGTTGGGCCTTCTATAAATCAAAAAACTACTCTCTTCCTCAGAATGAATTGAGTAGTTCCTGTTACTTTCTAGATGTAGCGCTTGGCTGCTCTTACAGTAGGTGGTGCTCTTGTGCTGTGTTGGGTTTTGGGGGCATTTGGGCATCTGTGGGGTTTGGCTTGATCTGGGAAGCGCTTCCCAGGGTTGTCACCTGGAGCTTTTATCTGTGCCAAGTGGAGGCTTGGTGTGGTGTGGAACTAACAGATAGAAAGGGCAGCCTCCCTTCTTCCCCTTCACTTCCCCAGCCAACCTGGGCTCCTCTCTCAAAGGAATCTGTGGGGAGCCTTCTCAGCCCCCTCCCTTTGATTTTTTAAATGCTTGAGTTTTCTATGGGGGGGAACCTGTCTTCATTTGCCTGCCTCAGTGACCCTAGATGAAGCTTCTTTCACGGTGGCTTGCACCATCTTTTTTTCTTCCTTTTTTCGTTAGCAGAGAGTGCAGATTCTCTGGGTGCAGAGAATCTTTTTTCTCTGTGGGTGCAGGGCATCCTGTGGGTGCAGAGCAGCTTTTCCTGGAAAACACCACCCCAGAGGCCTTTCCTTCAGAGACTCCTTCTTTCAAAGATTTCCCCAAAATAAAAATATTCCTCAGATTTTGAATTCTGAAGCACTTACTTTCAAAGATAATGCCTTTCTCAGAAATCATCTTTTCTTAGGTAGTTTACCTTCCAGCCCCACCCACACACCAACTTTTATTAGAGAATCAGTGGTGTATGTACAGGTTTTTTTTTTTTTTCATCTTCAAACCTATACTAGGGAAGTACTATGTGTTTTTGAATTACATTGAATTTTCCATGTTCCCTTCAAAAATACCTTCTCCTTAAGGGCTCTGTTCTCCTAAGGCCAAGAGAAATATTCTTTGGTTCCTTGTAATGAGGGTTACCATTATAATTCAGGCCTCACTGGAAATCCAGCCAGCTGCCTTTTTTTGTAAGTAATTTTTCTTTTTTTGAGACACTTCGGCTCTGTTGCCCGGGCTGGAGTGCAGTGGCGCAATCACAGCTCGCTGCAGCCTCCATCTCCCCAAGCTCAGGTGATACTCCCACCTAAGCCTCCCAAGTAGCTGTGATTACAGGTGCATGCCACTTTGCATGGCTGATTTTTGTATTTTTAGTAGATCTGGAGTTTCGCCAGGTTGCACAGGCTGGTCTCAAACTCCTGGGCTCAGTGATCCTCCTGCCTTGGCCTTCCAAATTTCTGGGATTATAGACATGAGCCAACCAAGCCTTGCCTAAATAAAGTTTTATTGCAACAACCACACCCATTCGTTAGCTTGATATCAATGACTGTTTTTGCTGCAAGGCAGAGGTGAGTAGTTGCTACAGACTGTATGACTCAAAAAATCTAAATATTTACTGTCTGGTCCTTTACAGAAAAAGTTTGATGCAATTTATCATCCAATCCAGACACTTTTGAAAGTGTAAGGGGGTGTCCTCCCCCATAGTGGGACAACAGGCATAAGCTGAGGTGGTCCTGGGCAACCAGGCTGTGTGATCACTCTCTTACAGCACCCACAAAGGATGGCAAAATTGGCGCCAAAATACTTAACTTTGATGACTAACAGTAAACACATGCAGGTTTCTTTCTGAAGAATGATAGACTGTATCTGAACACGTCTATGTGAAACATCTGTATTCTAAATATAGATGTTAGAATATAGAAAATTGAGTAAAACCTCTTCTTGGCCTGTAAGTTCTGACAGTCTTGCCTGCAAAATGAGGAGAAAACAGGAAGAGGAAGGACAGGAAGCGGAAGTGTCCTGGCCCAGGCGCTCCCGGCCTTCTGGCAGGATTCACGGGGCCCAATGGGAATCCAAGGGCACCATCCTTCCCATCGGCAGGTCGCCTCTGTCGTGTAGAAGTGTAGCCTTCTCTGAAATGCTGGCTGCCAAGAATGAGATTGGCGGTGGTTGTAGCCGCTGGGGCCTCTCCTCAGGCATCTGAGATCCGTTCCCACAGTGGAATCTCAGTGTCACTGGCAGTTTTTTGGTCACCATGCTGCAGTAGAGCCACACAGGCAGCCACCGGAATCACCGCCAGGAACGTCGTTTCTGTCTCTGGAGAAACCCTCTTACTTGTCAGTAGGCTGTTCCTCCAGACACGCCCTCCCTTCTTTCCACCCGTGAGCTGTAGGTTGATGGTACTTTGCTGACCAGGGTTCCTCATCTGCTCTTCAAGAAGATCAAGAATTGGAGAAGGGCCTGACTGTGGACCTTTATCCCCCATAAGAAAGGAGCACAGGTTCCTTCCAAGGTGACATCATCAACCAGAGGCCACCTTGGGGCTCCACATTCTCACTTAGAATTCCTTAAGGACAAATCTCACTTAGTAGAACCTCTACTGGGATATTGCGATTTGGGAGAAGTGGACTCATAAGCCCAAGCGTGTCACGTGCATGAGAGGGAGGTCACTGGTCGAGACTGCCGTGGAGAGAAGAGCAGAGCACCTGCCTCACCCCACAAGGGCAGTCGCTGCTTCCCGGCAGCTGGTGGTTCCTGTGTGCGGTGAGGGCCTGGTCATGCCGGAGCCTCAGACTCTACAAAAAGATCCCAGAAGTCTGAGTGTTAATATGAAATTTCCAGATGTTTAAAATAATGGTTATCCATGAAAAGAGTGTGCAGGCCAAGTAAAACCTGTCTGTGGGCTGACCGTGGTTTTACGAGTTCCGTTCAGTCTCAGTTTGGAGTTAAGAACCTACTGGCCTTCACGCTGGCAGGAGTAATAACTGATCACCTGTTAGGAAGCATTTTCCAGACGGGGTTAAGGTGAAGGCTATGTCTGTGGAGTCGTTTATCTTTGTAATAGACTCACTGATCGAGACGGTAAGGGAATGTCTTCCTTGGCCCCTTGAGTACGATGGTCCACCTCGCTGGGCTAAACTGCAGGCACGTAGCAAGTGAAGCATTCTAGATAGAGGCTGCCCACCCTTCCTCACAGAGGAGATGGGGTCCCCAGCCCCTTGAGCAGAACCTCTTGTCTCTTCATTGTGTATGCTGCAGTCACCTTGCTGTTTGGGCTTGTGGAGCCTGTAAGACCAGAAAGGACTCTGCTTCCGTTGGTTCCTAATTTTGTCTCTTACAGTTTGCCCAGTGTAGATTTCGACCATGTTTTCCTCATAACAGTATTGAGAAATGAGATTTTTTTTTCTTTTCTTTTTTTGTTTGGAGATAGAGTCTTAGTGTGTCGCCAGGCTGGAGTGCAGTGGCGCAATCTCTGCTCGCTGCAACCTCCACCTCCCGGGTTCAAGAGATTCTTCTGCCTCAGCCTCCCAGGTAGCTGGGACTACAGGTGCATGCCACCACAGCCAGCTAATTTTTGTATTTTTAGTAGAGATGGAGTTTCATCTTGTTGACCAGGATGGTCTTGATCTCTTGACCTCATGATCCGCTCACCTCGGCCTCCCAAATTGCGGGATTATGGGCATGAGCCACTGCGCCCAGCCTCAAAATAAGAGTTTAAAAAATCTTTATTGTTGCTTATATTCCTACCTCTTAAACAGTAGGTAGAGAACATAATTGAAACCTTTCTTAATGACTCGTGATCCAGAGATACCTTCATTTTAAAGACAAATGGTTCTGAATAGTTTTCGTAAAATATTGTAATTGCTTACACAATATACTGAATTTTTTTTTTAAGAGTCTAGGGTGCTCGCTTCGGCAGCACATATACTAAAATTGGAACGATACAGAGAAGATTAGCATGGCCCTTGCGCAAGGATGACATCCAAATTCATGAAGTTTTCCATAGAAAAAAATTAAAAAAAAAAAAAGAGTCTCGGTCTCTCTGTCACCCAGGCGGGGATGCAGTGGGGCAATCATAGCTCACTGCAACCTCCACCTCCCAGGCTCGGGAGATTTCTCCTGCCTCAGCCTCGCAAGTAGCCAGACCTGCAGGTGCTCACCACCACCCTCAGCAAACTTTTAAGCAATTTTTTGTAAAGATGGGGGTTTTGCTATGTCGCCTAGGTTAGTTTCAAATTCCTGGCCTCCCTGGAAATGATCCTCCTGCCTTGGTCTCCCATGTTGCTGGGATTACAGGTGTGAGCCACTGTACCCAGCCCACATACATAGTTTTAATATGCATAATTTTAAAAGTTTTGACCTTTTAAGGGTATGTAAGGCTATTTTCTGACAGTCAATAGACTGCTTTACTTTTTGGCTTCTATTTATGGAAATTTTACTAGTTTTTTTTCAGTACATATACTTTGAAATACATTTTTTGGCTGTTTAGGAGCTTTCAGTAAAAGTGTTCATTTCCAGGCACTGAAATGCTTTGGAAATAGAGTGTTATTGAAAAACTGATTGTTGAATGTTGCCAATGTTTTTCTGATTCAAGCCTCCCCATTCCTTCCCATGAAATGTCATGCACGTTCCTCAGATGTCATTTTTTAAATTTTTTTGAGACAGGGTCTCACTCTGTCATCCAGGCTATAGTACCATGATGTGATCATAGCTCACTGCAACCTCAAATTCCTGGGCTCAAGCTATCCTTTCACTTCAGCCTCCCAAGTAACTGGGACTACAGGTGCACATGACCATACCTGGCTAATTTCTTTCTTTTTCTTTCTTTCTTTCTTTCTTTCTTTCTTTCTTTCTTTCTTTCTTTCTTTCTTTCTTTCTTTTTCTTTCTTTTTTTTTTTAAGAGCTGGGATCTCACTATGTTGCCCAGGCTGGCCTTGAACTCCTGGCCTCAAGTGCTCCTCCACCTCAGCCTCCCAAAGTCTTGGGATTCAAGGTGTGAGCCACTGGGCGCAGCCTCAACTGTCAGTTTGTAATTCTTAGGATAGAACTTCTCCTCAGTGTCAGGAAAACCGTTGAGGGTTGCCACAAAAACTCATGTGTGATTCTTCCTTTGCCGTTTCCCACTGTAGTCGGATCCTGACCTCCCAGCCGATGTGCAGACGCCATCCTCAGTGGAACTGGGGAGGTATCCAGCCCTTCCCTTCCCGGCCTCCCAGTACATCCCACCGCAGCCATCCATCGAGGAGGCACGTCAGACCATGCACTCCCTCCTGGACGACGCCTTTGCCCTCGTGGCCTCCAGCAGCCAGCCTGCCAACGCCACGGGTGCGGGCCCAGGAGTCCCACCGGGCCTGCCGGTGAACAGCACCCCTTCCCGGGAAGAGAGGCGAGCCACCCAGTGGGGGTCTTTCTACAGCCCAGCCCAGACGACCAACAACCCCTGCAGTGTAAGTACTGGCCTAGAATTCTCTGGTGGGCAAGATGTTAAAGCTTTGTTGCCTGACTGCCACGCTTTGAAGCTCCACACAAAACTGTGGCTGCATTTTGGTAAGAATTAAAACACGGATGATGGGTCTTAGTTTTGATCTTCTACTATATTAATTCTTCATGTTGGAAGTATCCTTTTACGCAGGTTTACAGGCTCATGCCTGTAATCCCAGAAATGTAGGAGCCCAAGGTGGGAGGACTTTTGCTTTGCAGAGGAATGGAGGGGGATTTTATGGAAGCTTCTTTCTGGGTTCCTCACAGTATCACGGAATGGAGGTGGGGTAACTGTCGAATGCATCCTTGTTGATGTCCCCAGAAAAGTTGCAGTTTAGAATGTATCCAGATCATTCAGCTTCTTCTACAGCCACCTGGTACTGGAGAGACCCCTGAGGTTCCGGGACTATAGGCAGCCAGTCCCCATGTGGGCAGTGACAGCCACCTTCAAATGTCAGCTTCCCGTCTTAGGGGTTGACATTTCAGCATTTCGTCTGCCTTGGTTATCATTTATGTTTTTCTTAGACAGTCCTTTCAAGTTTACCTTCCTGAGAGACGGAGAAGTAAAACTCAAGGAAGTAAAGCTAACATTATTTTCTGCTAATTTTAGATGAAATGATTGGACTAAGATTTGACACTGAAGAGAAGTTAATAGGTCATGGTATGAATTTATTAGACAGAGAGTGTTTATACTGGTCCACGTTGTGATGGTGAAATTGAGTGGCAATAAACATATGGTAAAATATTTTTTACCTCTGAAATGGATTTGAATTTTCAAAGCAGGCCTTTAGCAATAGCTTGTTTCTTTCGGGGCATGGGAGGCATGGAGCCTACAGTGTGGGTACCTGCTGTCATGTGGGGTGGGGTGGGAATACCAGTCAATCGAATCATCCTTGTTTTTAATTTTAATATATAGCTTGTTCCAACAGATATCTTCAAAATTATAGCTGGTTTATAATTCAGGAAATGTGTGGTACAGAGCAAACCTCGGTGATAAATGTGGATACCACTGCCATCTGGTCACTAAACTTTACTCATTTGCTTATCCAGTCAAATATATTTACAAAGCACCGGCTGGACTGTAGGTCCTCTGCTTGGGTGCTGGAGATAGAGTAGTGTCCAGTACAGGCTCCTGTCCTCCGGTTCTTGCATTCCACCGGAGGCTCTGAGACAATCGAGGCTCTGTGGACAATCGAGACTGTAATTCCAGTACAGCATGGAAGGTGCCATGGCGGGAGGAGGTGATGTGGGAGGGGCATCTCGCAGAGCCTTGAGGTCTTTTGCGAAGGACTTTTCTGGACGAAATAGCATCTCTGTGGAAGTCTCAAGGATAATTAGTGGTTGTCAGTTGAAGAATGTTGCAGGTGGTGGGAAGTATAGCAGAGGCACAGAAATTAAAGTGTATGGGACAGGCTTCTTTTGGACAAGAGGGAGGAACAGAGCCTGGGTTTACCTTCCTTCCTGAAACATGAAAACACTGAAAGGAGGGCTGAGCGCAGTGGCTCATGCCTGTAATTCCAGCACTTTGGGAGGCCAAGGCAGGTGAATCACGAGGTCAGGAGTTCAAGATCAGCCAGGCCAAGATGGTAAAACCCTGTCTCTACTAAAATACAAAAAATTAGCTGGGGATGATGGTGCATACCTGTAATCCCAGCTACTCGGGAGGCTGAGGCAGATAATTGCTTGAACCCAGGAGGTGGAGGTTGCAGTGAGCCGAGATCACATCACTGCACTCCAGCCTGGGCCAAAGAATGAGACTCCGTCTCAAAAAAAAAAAAAAAAAAAAAAAAAAAAGGAAAACAAAAACACTTAAAGGAGTACCTGGGTGACATGACATTAGACATTAGACAAGAAGGGACAGGTATCAATGAGAAGTGAATTGAGCCCTCCAGTTGCTCCAGCTTATGTCTGGAGTTTGTAGTCATGGTGCAGGGGCTAGCACCCCAGGCAGAGCCCTGTGGTCTCCCTGAGTTGAAGAAATGGAGTTTGGAAGTCTGGGGAGGAAAAGGCAGCTGAAGTTCACAAGAGAGAGTACAGGAAAGGAGAGAGATGCCCCGAGCAGGATTGTAGGCATCTGCAGAGAATCTTTGAGTACTGATTGGTTTATGGGTGCACAGAAACTACCCAAAAGAGCCCCCCAAAAAGATCAGAAAAAAACAATCCTCAAAATTCACACAGGCCTGGGAATAAGCTGTTGCTATGGATTGAACTGTGTCCTCCCCAAAATCACAAGTTGAAGCCGTAACCCTCCACGTGACCGCATTGGAGATAAGGGCCTTTAGGGAGGTGATTAAGAGCAAATGAGGCTATAGGGGTAGAGTCCCCATTCAATACAACAGCTGCCCTTAGAAGATGAGGAAGAGACTCCAGAGCTCTCTGTCCAACCAGGTTAGAACACAGAGAAGGCAACTATCTGCAAGCCAGGAAGAAAGCCCTCACCTGAAACTGAACACTGCCAGACGTTGACGTAAGACATTCCAGTCTCCACAACTACCAGAAAATAAGTTTCTGTTGTCTTCATCCACCAGTTCTAAGGTATTTTGTTATGGCAGCCTGAGCAGGTGAATACAGTTTCTTTCCCAGCAGTCAGTGGAAATTGCATGATTCATGCAACATCAGTTAGAGTACTCGGAAGCATTTTGCCTTAAAGCTGTTCTGGTTCCACCTAACAAACCACAAAAGCATGACATCTAAACCCAAGCAAAACTCAAGAATATTTATAGAAACACAAAAATATGCAGCAGTCAGTAAGGTAAAATTAATAATGTCTGCATCAAATCAAACTAAACAGACAAATGAAGAAGCAAGAAAGTGACACACATGATAGAATTAGTAGACACGCGGTATGCAGTGGCTCACACCTGTAGTCCTGGCATCTTGGGAGGCTGTGGCAGGAGGATTATTTGAGCCAGGACTAACCTGGGCAACACAGTGAGACTCTATTTCTACAAAAAGGTATAAAAATTAGCTGAGCACTACTTAGGAGGCTAGGGTGGGAGGATCACTTGACCCTGGGAGGCTGAGGCTACAGCAGTGAGCCATGATTGCACCACTGCACTCCAGCCTGGGTGACAGAGCAAGACCCTGTCTCAAAAAAAAAAAAAAAAAAAAAACAAGAAAGAAAGAAAAAAAAAAAAGAACTAGTAGACAGGATATTAAAAGAATTCTTACAATGGAGTTCCATAGATTAAAGAAGCTAGAGGAAAGAGTATACACATTAACTAGAAGCATTGAAAATATTAAAGGACAAAAATCAAGCTTAGAAATAAAAGCTACAGTCTCTGAGATGAAAAAATATACTGGATGGGATTGAAGGCAGAGTGCATATTGCAGAAGAAAAAAATTAGTGGGCTGTAGTAAGAAAAACGGTATGGTAGTGGCATAAAAACAGAAACACACACCAGTGGAACAGAACAGAGAGCCCACGAATAAATCCACACGTATGTGGTCAGCTAACGTTTGACAGGGGCAGCAAGAGGACGCAATGGGAAAAGCACAGTCTGCTCAGTAAATGATGAGGGGAAAACTAGATTTCCACACGCAAAAGACTGAAGTTGGACTCCTGTACACAAAAATCAACTCAAAATGAATAAAAGACATACGTGTAAGAACCGAATTATAAAACTCCTAGAAGAGAACATGGGGGAAAAGCTCTTTGACATTGACCTTGGTGATGATTTTTTGGATATCACACCAAAAGCTCAGGTTATAAAAGCAAAAATAAATAAATGGTGCTGCATCAAACGAAAAAGCTCTGCACAGCAGAGGAAAACATTGAAAATGTTTCCGTGAAAAAGGCAACCTACGGAATGGAAAATTCTTATACCACATGTCTGATAAAGACTTAGTATCAAAAATTTATTTTAAAAAACTCTTACAACTCAATAGCGGAAAAATAAATAATCCAATTTAAAAATAGGCAAAGGATTTGAACAGACATTTTTCCAAAGAAGACATGAAAATGGCCAACAGGTATATGAAACAGTGTTCAATATCACTTGTCATCAGAGAAATACAAATTAAAACCTCTGTGAGGCTGGGTGCAGTGGCTCACGCCTGTAAGTAATCCCAACACTTTGGGAGGCTGAGACAGGCAGATTGCTTGAGCTCAGGAGTTCAAGACCCATCTGGCTAATATGGTGACACCCCGTATCTACTAAAAATACAAAAATTAGCTGGGCATGGTGGTGCATGCTGGTAATCCAGCTGTTGTGGTTGAGGCACAAGAATCATTTGAACCCAGGAGGCAGAAGTTGCAGTGAGCCAAGATCATGCCATTGCACTCCAGCCTGAGTGACAGAGCAAGACTCTGTCTCAAAACAAAACAAAACCCTTTAGGAGATACTGCTCACACTTGTTAGAATGAGTATTATCAAAAAAGTTAAGAAATAATAAATGTTAGCAAGGATGTGGAGAAAAGGGAACCCTCGTACCCTGTTAATGGCAATGTAGATTGGTATAGCCATCACGGAAAGTAGTGTAGAGGTTCCTTAAGAAATTAAAAATAGAACTACCACATGACCCAGGAATCCCTGTTCCTGGTATGTACCCAAAGAAGGTAAAATCACCATCTTTTAATGATATCTGCATTCCCATGTTCATTTCTGCACTATTCACAATAGCCAAGATATGAAAATAACCTAAGCATCCATTGATGGATGAATAGATAAAGAAAATGTTGTGTATGTATACAATGGAATATTATTTATCCTTTAAAAAGGAGATCCTGCTGTTTGCTACAACATGGATGGATCTGGAAGACATTATGCTAAGTGAAATAAGCCAGAAACAGAAAGAAAAACATTGCATGATCTCGCTTACATGTGAAATCTTAAAAAAAAGTACTAGAGGTGGGAGGGGCAAGGAAGGGAGACGGAGATGGAAGGATACAAAGTAGGGGATGTGTAGGATAAGCAGGTCTAGAGATCCAAAGTGCCAAATGAGGACTATAGTTAATAAAATTTGA